CAGAGCTCCCCCCTGTCAAATGCTATTGGAGGCCTCAGTGAGTGGTCCCCCGAATAGATCACCAGCGCCTTTGCGCGATGGGTCGGACTCTAACAAAAATCTTTCCAGCTCGCTAGCTCTATTGCCCATAGCGAGCGAGCCGTCTCCGTACACCTCGTGACCCTGCCTCTTCCTGGCAGGAAGACGCTGCCAATTCCTTCGCGAAGTAGGCCAATGTGATCTGCTACAAACCTCGCGAAGCTGCTCTCGTAAGAGTCCTCGTCCTCTACAAAAATATATTGCGAAGGTACCCCCTATCATAACCAAATTACAGAGGGACTCTGCGAGGGTTATATGTCTTTGTTATTTGACCCCCTTCCCATATTGCTGGCAAGTAGCCAGGGGTGCTCATCAACAAGAACACCAACACTTCGCTCGTATTCAGGCGATGAGCACCCACTGGAATGTACTCGTTATCGTTAAAGTACATGGGAAGAGTTTTAGCCCCAGGCAGGTCCATCGCATAAGGGCGACTTATGAATTGGAAGCTTTGGTCCAAGGCATATCCTAGCCGTCCTCGTGGCGACCGACCATGCCATCTCATGCCTCGCACCACCTCCTCGTCCACAGCCAGGTCTGCGGGGATGGGAACATAAGATTGGAACCTCTCATACAGGAACATTTGTAGAAATATGGTAGACGCGTACGAGCAATGGACGTAGCGCCCCACAGACCGGCCCATGTCTTCCCACACCATGTCGAGTCGGTGGTATAATGTTCCCAAAAAGAGAGGTGCGAGGGCCATCTTCACACCACTCGCCAGCTTCACCGTCAGATCCACAAGTCGTGGCTGTGGAGCATCCTCCGGAGTCCCCTCGAACAGATATCTCGATAGCCAACATAGTAGGTAGGCCGCGAGACTGGACGAATGATCAGCCCAAGGACCTGGAATTCCTTTTCTCCCCTCATCTGTGAGATTCTTTTTTGTCATGGGGAAATCTTTAAAATAATATCGCACCAACGCCCCCAGAGTGGCCTTGCGTGTACCCTTGCCTCGCTCAGCATGGCGAATACCCTGTGCGCCCCACAGCGACTTAAAGTCTTTAGTTTTTTCCAGTGCTGTCTCGAGATCATGAGCAAAAGTCTCTTCAGCTTGCACGAACTCCCAAGAACCAGGATTTTCCACCCCTTGAAAAGGTAAGCCTAACAACTGGCTCACATCCTCAATCGTGGGAGTGAACTCTCCCCAAGCAGTAATGAAAGTATGCGAGCTTGAGCTCCATCGCGAGGTTAATTCCCATAAACCTACAGTGTCGCGAGGGATGTGTATTTGGCGAAACAACTTAATCGAAGCTGTTAAGCTCGCTACATCCAAGATTGCCTCGTACTTTGGATTTGCAAGGATCGCGTCCGTCTATTTTTCCCAACTATGGGCTGGACTTATGTGATTGTTGAAGTTCATATAGGACCACGGATATTGCCCTTGCTCAACCCCAAATCACAAGATTGTATCCGCAAGGATGCGAGGAGTCAGGTTCATTTCAACTTCCTCCTCCATCAACTCAACCACTTCAAGTGGTTCGCCGGCGACCACAGCTTTGCTCGCCCGGTGCCAAAACAGGTCATTTTTTCTAAAAAATGGCGCCCGTCGCCATTTCGAATTTGCTAGCACCTTTGGCGGAGGGTAATCCTTCTTGCATAACTCTTGTTTTTTGCTAACCATGATGGCAGTTCCTTTTCACTAAGCAAACAATGCACCAAAGAACTCTAAACTTTCGTGAGATCTCTTCTCCGACGACGATGGAGGTTCAGGTAATCTCTGTATTTCTTAAGCCCGTTTCACAAGTAACCCTTCACTTCGTCACTGTCTCCCTTTTAATAGCCTTCTTGCCTCGGGAACCCCCAAAAATCAAATTGGCAACAGACGGCGCATTAATAACTAGAGGTGACCTTTCATGCTCGCGTCTCTTCCACCCCCTCAAAACAATAAATGCCCTAGAAGCTTAGCCTTGCACGCGCAATAATTCATTTTGAATCGTCGCACGTGCAGGGGGGCAAAATGTGGGTGTCACTTATCAGACGCTGAGGTGGCACGTTGACAAGTCAAAACAACCCTAGCCAAACCCTCCGTGGCAAGTTGAAAAGTTAAAAGCCTCGAAAGATCAAATCTTGAGCACTTTAAGCCCTGGCATCGCTCCAGGCCCTCAAGCCTCGAAATCTCGAGCACTTTGAGCCCTGGTATCGCTCCAAGCCCTCAAGCCTCGAAAGATTAAATCTCGAGCACTTTAAGCCTTGGTATCGCTTCAGGCCCTCAAGCCTCGAAAGATCAAATCTCGAGCACTCTAAGCCCTGGTATCACTCCAGGCCCCCAAGCCTCGAAAGATCAAATCTCAAACACTCTAAGCCCTGGCATCGCTCCAGGTCCTCAAGCCTCGAAAGATCAAATCTCGAGCACTCTAAGCCCTGACATCGCTCTAGGCCCTCAAGCCTCGAAAGATCAAATCTCGAGCACTCTAAGCCCTGGCATCGCTCCAGCCCCTCAAGTCTCGAAAGATCAAATCTCAAGCACTCTAAGCCCTGGCATCGCTCCAGGCCCTCAAGCCTCGAAAGATCAAATCTCGAGCACTCTAAGCCCTGTCATCGTTCCAGGCCTTCAACCCTCGAAAGATCAAATCTCGAGCACTCTAAGCCCTGGCATCGCTCCAGGCCCAGTAAGCCTCGAGAAGTCGATCTTCGAGCATTCCAAATCCTAGTGTTACGCCAGACGATACTGTCCTAAAAGATCGGAGCTCCTTAGCACGAGATGAGGTAGGATTTTTGTGTTATAGGAGTCCATGTTTGGGAAACTTAGGAGGATCTTGGATTGGCGGATGAGAAGTTAAGAAGTGCCTTTGCTCTCGGCAAGGCCCAATTAACAAGATAATGGGATTATACACGTTGTGACAGCAAACCTTAAAATCACAATTAATGCTGTGTCAAGCTTGACCAACCGACGGCCAAGCAACATTTAATGCCCCTGATTAAGGGAGAAGTGGCATGGCAACATGGGACAAGGCTCGAGGAAAGGATTAGACCCTTCAGCCCCTTAAGTCTTCAGGATTATTCACGTAATCCGGATTGGGGGTGATGCATGCGAGGAACCATACATAAAGGAGACCATTGGTAATGGAATCTTGATCTATAAATGGCACTGTCCTATGAAGAAAGGAGCAACTCTCCCGAACTAAAGAAAAGCTGTCATATTGTATACTCGCCCTACCACCATCTGAATCTGGTTAATTGGTCTTCTTTTCCTCCTCCTACACTAAGCATCTCCTCTGTTTTCCTTCGTATTTGTATTCCTGATATCTCTTTTTATTACTATTTTATTACTTAACAAAAAAGAACCCCTACAGATACTATACATTTATACGCAATTATATATGTATACATTACAGTTTCATCTTCTTATTCTTAAATACCTACCATTGTTACATCCCAAGCTACCATGTAACTGACTCTTTTGCCCCCAAAGCTACTATATGATTGCAGTAATAAATAATAAAACGACCATCACCAAATTTAATCCTGTTAATGAAGGATACTGGAAGAGATACACTAAATATAGACTAATCTTTGACATTATCTACACAAAGTGATTGTCCCCAAACTCGAACTTATTTTCTTACACGTGGCAGCCCAAGGTCATTAAATAATGTCTTCTTATATTCTAATAATAGTGCCGTTGTAAATTCATTCTACACTTTCTTTCTGTTATGAATTCTAAAATGCCTGTCTGGCCCTAAATCTCATTATTTGATTTTGCTCATTATTTTTGGTTGGCATAAAATGAGAAGAGTGGAGGTAGGACAAATGAGGACTCATCGCAGCAGTCAATTATGATTCTAGAGAAGAAGAGGACTCGAAACATTGGGTTAAAAAGCAAGAGACTACTCATGCATAGTGAAGAGGCTATGGAGCTGAGACTCACATGGGAAGAAGCTCAGGAGTTGCTTCGCCCACCCCCGAGTGCCAAGCCAACCATTGTCATGATTGAGGAGCATGAATTTGAAGAATATGATGTAAATATGCCATTCGAAACAAATACTTGTTTGTTTTAAACATATTTTGGTCAGCCTTTCTTGTCTGCAAGTTAATAAGTCATCTGTGGGGAATGCTGCTCTACCTTCAAGCGAGTTTAGAACATCAATCCCCACCATGTTTTCCACGTCATCTATGTGACTAATGTTGTTCATGTTATTTAGGAACCACCAGTTTTTGCAAAGAGGACTATATTCACCACAAGAGCATCTGGGTGAGTAACTTCTTAAGTTATTTAGTTATTTTGTCGCCAGTATATCAAGAAACAGAGAGAGAAGGAAGGGAGGGAGGGGGTTATGGGGGACTAACAGACTTTTGAGAAAGTTTTGCTGTCATTTTTTGACATGTTTGTTATGCTTCTGGTTTCACTTGTCTTCCTTTTAGAGAACTATTTCTAAAGTTTCAAATGGCAGATTTATTTTGCTCCCATATTTTTAAACAATCGACAGATGAGAAATGAATGATGGAAAAAAACCTGTGGCCCTAGACTCACGATCTTATTAGTCGTCCTCTAATTCTCTTTCTTTAACATTTTTCTCATCCTCTCTGGCATGCAATATGGTCCAAGATATTTGAAGAACGGGCTATCCCAAGCTGCCCCCATTACCACTTGTGATGCATGTAAAGGACCACTCTCAATTCAGTTTCATTTTCATCTTTATTCTTGTATTTTTCTTCCTAAAATTAAATTTTGTGTTGTATGAGGTTTCTGCTAGCATAGCTCGTAAAGTCTCTTTGTGGCCATATCAGAGTCATGAGATCGAATACAGCTCCATCCTTTTATTATTATTATTATTATTATTATTATTATTTTATTTCTATTCGATCCTTGTTTATGCAGTTGGGAGTTGTACATTGAGATAGACAAAGCTCTAGTTATGATTACATGAATGTTGTAATTTCTGATGCTTGTTTGTGGCAAAAAAGGAAGTACTTTTTCATACTACTTATGTTTATGCTGTGCTTCCAGATGTTTATGTTCTGCACCTGAAGATATGAGTCCAAAGGATCTGGAAAGCTTTTTCAGAGTTGGCAAGGGTATGAATAAGACTGTGTTTCCTTCTTATTTTAACTAAATTTTAATGGATTTGAGAATTAGTAATCATAATGCTTGCAAGTCCTTATATGTGTTCGTTTTTAGACAATGCCTATGTGTATCCACTAGCGCATATTTAGTTGAACGCTGGCTGCACTGTGGATGTTTATGCATGCATACTGTCTAAAATGGACTTGGTTACATATGGACTATGTATGTTAAAAAAAAAAAAAAAGGACTATGTTAAATTGTTGAAGTTGTTCAATTGTTTTCTATCTTTTGGGATTAGTCTGTTTTACATGGAAGCTTCATTCATTTTTTTTTTTTTCAAATAATTTATTTTGCATGCTGATAATTTTGGTAAGTATTGCATGAAATTCTATTGAAGTAGGAAGAGTTTCATTGTTCTTTAGTTGGACACTCCTGTTGATTGTGTTCGATAATAGGTGTCTCTGACACATTACTATATCCTTCCCCATTTCATATTACGTCTGTTTCTTATGAAATTCTCTTGAAGTAGGAAGAGTTTCATTGTTCTTTAGTTGGACACTTCGGTTGATTGTGTTCGATAATAGGTGTCTCCGACACATTACTATATCCTTCCCCATTTCATATTACATCTGTTGCTTATACTTCACACAATTTGATGTGTCCATAAAAATTAGTATGGATGATTTTGGAAGCTTTTAGATTTTGGCATGCTTTATGTGAATGTTCATGGGTCGCACTTGTGAAAAATAGATGATTTGTATTCTTTGTACGCCTATGTTTATTGTGAAAGGAGAAGTACGTAGAGGGATTAATTTCCTTTGTCTATTTTTATTGTGAGGAGTGAAGTTTTTAAGTTGGTTAATAACTTTATGTCCAACAGTTTCGAACTTCAGATAAAATGGGGTCCAGTGGCCATTTGAGTTGATTCAGAGATCCTATGTCTGTAAAACCCGTTTTTCAATGTGTGACCATTCAAGACAACTTGTTTGCATCAGTAAAAGTTGCTTTTCCCTATTCTTGCTCGTGTCGCCTGTTGGTTTTCTTCGTTTTATGATTATTCTCATTACAAATAGTTTTGTCATATTGATTGTGATATTTTCCCTAATGAATCCCAAAATACCTGCCGATGCTTAATTTCCCTCTCTCTCACTTCTCCAGATTTTAAGAAACGAAGAACCATAGAAAGCCGCAAGGTAGGCCAAGAACACGAGCCCTCTGGATTAGACACCTTGGCCACTGCTGCAGTCCTAGGAGACAATGTGGGTGAGTTAGGTGAGCTGTCAGTTGGAGCCACTACAAAACATCCTAGGCATCGTCCTGGCTGCAGTTGCATCGTCTGCATTCAGCCCCCTAGTGGGACCGGCAAGCACAAGCCCAGTTGCATATGCGTTGTGTGCATGACCGTGAAGCGCCGGTTTAGAACCCTCATGTCGCGGAAGAAGAAACGCCAATCAGAACATGAAGCAGAAATTGCCCAGAGGAAGGACCAGGTTCCTCCAAGGGATGAATCAGAGATGGCTGGCACATCTGAACATCCATTGCCGCATATAAACCATTCAGATAATGAAATAACCGGGGTTAGAACACAAATGGAGGTGGCTGAGTCCAGCAAGGAACAGCTAGACTTGAATTGCCATCCCAACCGTGAAGACGACCTTCTAACAGAGACAACAGGAGCGAGCATGACAAGACTTGTTCATGCAGCAAGCCTTCCACTAGAGATGTACATGAGGCAGAATGGGCTCTCAAACTTGCGCCCCTGTTTGCTCTCACCAGCCTCTTGTGAGAACGAGGGAAGCCCACCTGATGAAGGGTGTTTTGCATCTTTAGTACCAGAGTATGAGAACATGAGTGATGAAGGATAATCTCAGCCCAAACGAGGCTGTTATAATTTTCCTTTTTTCATTATTTACAGGTTTAAAATTATATATGATATCTGTTTTCTTCCCCAACGGATAATGTTATGTGTCTCCACAATCAAAGAGTGCACTCTGTCTTACAATGATTTGTGCTTTGATCTCTTCTGCTGACAGTAATGGATTATCATATGTATGTTTGTCTGTAATTAGAACATCAAGCAAGTCCTCTTCCACCTTCTTTGCACCACTCCTCCACTGTCGCATCTTCTCATCAATTTCGGGATGTTGATACTTTCTTAGACTTGCAATAGCTTTCCTAATGATCTTCTCATGACCATCCAAATCAACCTGCCATCTCATCCATGGATTATAATCAGAAACACTCAAACACACAACGAATACACGTACCCAATTAAGAATGGCGAAACACGTCTATATGTGCTCTTCTTCCTTATTACCCGGTACTCCTCCATCCGCTATTCCTTCCCTGAAAAACCTCTTATTGAATATCATCTTCCTTATCACATTCCCTCAAGGTGATCTGCTTCTTCGGCTCTCTTGTGGTTAAGCCATCGGTGTCTAGCCGGTGAAAGCACCTTAGAAGTAACTACCCTTTTCATATTTTTCCATTGTTCACCTAAAGGGACAAGAACTAGGACCTATACTATAGTCCCAAATACAGAATAGGGAAGTGTTTGTCTTGAAAAGTCAAGGAATTTTTTTAATTATTTTTTATTTTTTATTTTTTATTTTCCTGAAAAGTCAAGGATTGTTTTAAATGGATGAATCCGCTACTGACTTCCCCTTGTGAGATACCTTTGGTGCATAGGTGATATCAAAAGAGCTAAGTTCAATAGCCCATTTTGTAATTTGACCAGACAAGTCTGGTTTAGCTAGGATAGCCCGTATAGGGTGATTTGTAAGTACCACTATGCTGTGAGATTTGAAGTAATGTCGAAGTTTCCTCTTGGCATAAATTAACGCCAGGATTATCTTTTCCGTCTTGCTGTACCGTGTCTCGGCATCCGTCATCGTTTTGCTTGTGTAAAAGATTGGGTGCTGAATCTTGCCTCCTTCTTTGATCAACACTGCGCTTGTTGCTACAGCTGATACTGCCAAGTACAGGATGAGAATGTCTCCGGGCGCTGGAGCAGAAAGGATTGGGGGTTTTGTCATGTAGCTTTTCAATTGATTGAGAGCTTCCTGCTGCTGAGGTCCCCACATATCTTTGTTTTTAGATCGAATAGCATCAAAGAAAGGTTTATACTTATCAGATAATCGGGATATGAACCGGCTGAGGGCCGCAACTCGGCCAGTTAGAACTTGCACTTCCCTGCGTGTTTTTGGCTCTTGGTTCTGTATGAGTGCCTTTGCCTGAGCTGGGCTTACTTCTATTCCTCTTTTATTTACAATGTGCCCGAGGAACTGTCCTGAAGAGACGGCGAAGGAGCACTTGGTGGGGTTCAGCTTCATATTGTACCTCTTGAGAGTATCAAAGACCTCTTGGAGGTGCTTCGGGTGATCCTCTTTCCGTATACTTTTGACCACCATGTCATCGATATAGGCTTCAACTGTATTCCCCAGTAGATTATTGAAAATTTTATTGACAAGTCGCTGGTAGGTGGCTCCGGCATTCTTTAGACCGAAGGGCATCACTCTGTAGCAGTAAGCGCCCGTCTCTGTGATGAAAGCGGTTTTCTCCTCATCTTCAGGATTCATGGGAATCTGATTATAGCCGGAGTATGCATCGAGGAATGTGAGCCTCTCATAACCTGTAGTAACATCCACCATTTGATAAATCTTGGGCAGAGGGAAGCTATCTTTTGGGCAAGCTTTGTTAAGGTTGGTATAATCTACGCATACCCTCCATTTTCCATTCTTCTTTTGAACGACTACTACATTTGAGAGCCATTGTGGGTATTACACCTCTCGAATGAATCCTGCTTGTAATAGTTTATTTACTTCCTCGGCTATTATGCGATTCCGTTCAGGTGCGAACCGTCGGTGCCTCTGCTTGATTGGCCTGAATTCTGGGTTAACCCTCAAACTATGGCATGAGACCGTAGGATCGATCCCTACCATGTCCGAGTGATCCCAGGCAAAGACATCCGAATTACACTGAATGACCATGATCAATGCTTCCTTCTCTTCGGCTGTGCAAGATGAGCCAATGTAGGTAACCTTCTGAGGGTCTCCGAGGACTACCTCTATAGCTTCGAGGGACTCCTCGGTAAGTGCTTCAGACTCGGCTTCTTCCTCTGCCTTGAGATACTTGGGCAGAGGATACTGTAACTGTTATTTGATTGCGTCTTTGGGATTCGCCTCTGACTGAGGTGATTTCGACGCCTTCTTTGCTTCATATAGCGTTAGCATGTAACATTCTTTTGCAGCAACCTGGTCTCCCCAGAGGTCGATGACCTCCCTGCCATCTGGGGATAAACACCTCATTACTTGATGAAGGGTAGAGGGGACTCCATTCATACGATGGATCCAACCTCTCCCCATAATGAGGTTATAAGATGGATGAATCTCCGTCACGACAAAGTTCTCCTTCAGAGTCCTCTTTACTGCAGTAATGGATAGATCGATCACCCCAAGCGGATTCACCTTAGTACCATCAAACCCCATTAGGGGGCTGGAAGTTGGCCTGATGGACGATGGTGAAACCCCCAGCTGATCGAAGGCTGCTTTTGTAATGATGTTAGCGCTACTTCCCGGATCTATCAGCACCCTCCTGATCATATAATTCGCCACTAGGAGGCTGATGACCAAGGGGTCTTCATGCGGGCGTTGGACTCTAGACAGATCATTGTTACCGAATCCAATGTTGATGCTGCCTGGCGCAACCGTGTTTACTGAAGACAATCTTCGTAACTTATGAGCCTCTCTCAACCTGGATCTGTACAACTCTTCAGACTCTTCATCATCCTCTGACCTTCCGTGTATGGCATGGATAACCTTTACCTGACCGCCCTCTACCCCTCGAGGGTTAACCTCCCGAGGTTTTACGTACTCCTTCGTGGCGAGATACTCCACCAACTCTCATCTCGCTATCATGCTTTCTACCTGTCGCTGAAGGGACCTGCAGTCATTGGTGGTATGCCCATAATCTCTATGGTAGGCACAATGTTTGCTTTTGTCCCTCTGCTCCAAGGGTTGTTTCATGGGCTGAGGAGTTGCGAACCTCGTCTTATTCTCTTGGAACAGGCGCGCTAAGGTAGTACGGAGAGGGGTAAGCCTGTTGTAATACACCTAATTTTAAAAGGATAGTCTCGGTATTTATTTATTTGTTTTAATTGTATTTTTTAATTATTTAATTAATTATTTGACTAATTGCTTATGTGTTTAATTGAATTAGGTATTACTTAATTATTTGATTATGTGTCTATATATTATTTGTATTTGTCTATGTGTTAATTGTTTAATTAGATTATGTGCTTAAATGGTGTTTTGATTAATTGTAAATTAAATATTTTCTTTTCTTTTATTATTTTATTTTATTTTCTTTTTCTTTTATGGTTATGGTTAGTAGTAATGGGCCAACTAATTAGGTCCCGTGGACTACTTGGATAGGAGGTTGGATGTGTATGAATTATTACCCATGGATATTGTATGTATATATATAAATATATATTATATACATATATAAAAAGGAAAGTAATTTATTAATTATTTATATGGTAACTTGGGTAGTAATATTTAATCTGATGTATATATTTTATATTTAAATAATAAAAATATACATAGATTTGATACGTGTTATGTTTTAAGTTACTTTATAATGTTATGGTAACTTAAGTATTATTGGATAATCCATTAATAAATAATGAAATATGTATAATTTATTTATTTAATAAACATATACATAAATTATATACGTAACATATTTTACTTACCTTTTTAATATATATATAAAAGAGAAAGTAATTTATTAATTACTTTTATGGTAATTTGGGTAGTAATATTTAATCTGATGTATATGTTTATTTAAATAATAAAAATATACATAGATTTGATACGTGTTATGTTTTAAGTTACTTTATAATATTATGGTGACTTAAATATTATTGGATAATCCATTAATAAATAATGGAATGTGTATAATTTATTTATTTAATAAACATATACATAAATTATATACGTAACATATTTTGCTTACCTTTTTAATATTTTTATTTTCATTTTTTTTTTAGTTGACTTGGATTGGGAAAAGGGTTAGGGTTATTTTATTTAACCTATAAATATATAGCTATAGGTTGTAAAAGGGGGTTAGAAATATTCACGTGATATATACTGGAGAGATAGTGTTAGAGAGGGAATGAGGAAAAGGAAAGAATGAGGAGAAAAACCCTGTAGAGAGAAGATCAAGAAAGAAGAAGTTTAACTTTCGATCCGAAAGTTTAAGGCAAGTTCTTCTTCTATCTCTTTCCCTTGATTCGTGTTTCTGTACATGCCTAGGAAATTTCAAGATTTATTAAACACATAAAATTAAATAATTATGCATGTTTAATTGGGTTAGAACATAGGTTTTATGAAATTGGTTCATATATGTTCTTGTGTTATGAATTGATAAAATGCATGATTTTGATTTGATTTCTTATGTGAATTTTTACATGTTTAAATTATGTATTTTTCATATCTGTGGAATGATAAAACGTAGAAACATGTCTAGAATTCCTGAACATCAAATAGGGACTAGGTTTGGGTTTTAATAAATTTAAATAAACTCAATCATAATGATGCTTGCTATTTGAATGTTTTAAACAAACGAATGGATTTAATCTTTTAAAATATTTTAGCAATTGAGATTAAATGTGTAGGATGAATTGGATATAGAGAATCCTTATTTAACGGTATAATAAAATATCATCATATATAAGATTCAGTTTGTATAGGACATATGATATAGGAAGTTTAAAGAAATAATAAGTCAATCCTATTATGTGATAACTTAATATCATATTTATCATAGTTATTTATGGAATGTTTGATGTATTTCCTTAATTGTTACATCAATTGTTGGATTGTATGGTTTAATGCACCGGTATGGGACGGTGGCATTTTAGGGATGGATTAACTTATCAGTTAAGTCTTACCTATTTTATATAAGGGAATGGATTAACTA